AAAGGGGAACAACCTTCCAGCAGCACCATTTTCCTTTTGCACACTGAAAATATTAGGGATTTCCCAATATGGACTGTGTTACTATCTTGTGGGGACACTGAGAGCAGAAGGAATCTGTTAATGAAGTGAGAAGCTCAGAATTTCAAAGTGAAAAGGGTGAAAACGAAAAGATAAAAGAAGTAAAACTAATTTTGAGCCCATTCCCTAATTTGTAATGCTCTAGTTACCGTGAGCAGATATGGAAATACAAAGCCTCTGACTCTCTCCAGCCCTGCCCAGGATGCAGGAGGCCAGGGGAGCACACAGGGAAGTAGAACACGTGCCTTCTGATGAAAAGTCCAGATTTAGGGCACTCCAAGTGAATCAGACACAAGGAACTATCCCAGGTAACCACACCACCTCCATGTAACTGAAACATGGCATAGTTACTAATTAAACTTACACTTACAGCTGCCAGGACATGAGAAATCACAGCTGACATGATGTAAGCAAGAGGCAGGACACTTTTGTTCAGCAACTTCCCACATGTGGAATCACACAAGTCCCAGAAACACATTTTAGGATAAGCAGACATATTTACCTCTTCCCAGGTCCTGTGGAGGACAGGGTGAGTGGTCTTTTCCAGAGGGCTGCAGAGCTGTCTCCTTGTGTCACAGAACCACTGGAAGGGCTCATCCACACACCAGCTTCTCCCCATGGAGCCCACAGCCAGATATTTTCTATGCCAGGGTTTAAAAAAGTTCTATCCATCATGCTTAGTAGTGTCAGCCTTCTGCCAAAGTTTGTCAGCTATAGCCTGGAAGCATCCAACTTTTTTAGGTTGTAATCCAAACCCTCTGCTCCATCTGTAAAACCTTTAGGGAAAACACAATGTTTGCACTCAAAGTGCAAAGTTTCTTGTGGGTGGTTTTCTCCTCGATACAGAAACTCTTAACAGTGTTTGAATTAGAATGTTTTTAACATGTTAATTTCATGATCTAGTGGTTGTATTGTCGCCACTGACACCGCTCATGTTTCCCAGCCAGCTGTAAAGGGGTGGCATCCTGGGCTGAAGCAGGAGCAGCCTTGCCAGTGACAAACCAGCCCTTCCGGGCTCCTACAGAACCTGGCAGATCCATAACACAATCCCAGTCTGGGTCAATGACATGGAAGACCAGCACTGAAATTCAGCTCACCCAGGGAAGAATTTGCCCTTCTGTTGCTCTGAAAGCCTTTGTCCTTGCTGTTAACCCCTCACTGAGCTCCAAGTAAATTGTGTGATGTTCTCCTGCCTCCAGCAGAGTCCTTGCCTGTTATATCTGGGGAAAGCAGCTGCTGGAGACAGCTGGAAGGAGACTTTTATGGTTATTACAGTAGCTGCAAAGTCATTTGTGCTGTCGTAGCACTCGGCTATCTATCCGTTTCTGTCAGCAACACAAGTTTTATTGCAGAAATGGGTCTGCAGGCAGCCAGAGGAACCCACAGCACCCCAGCCCAGCCACGTTCAAAGAGAGGGGCAGCTGCAAGGGCCTGGCAAACCCCTGGAAGATGCAGGAGACATTGCTGGGAGCTCATGGTTTGGTCACTGTCAGGATGTGCCACAGATGTGACAAAATGGAAAAGTGAATTGCAAACTGAAAATACTGAGATCCTTTTAGTGTCATGAGATGTATTTCTAATGGCGGCATTTAAAGAGTTTGTGTCTCATAAGATGATGTTTCTAATTTCAGAGAAAAAAAATGACTGCTCATCTGAGCCTTTCAGATGCACATCAGCAAGTAATTGAAGACAAAGTGTTTTTCTGTAATAAACCTTCATAATGAAGCACCAGAGGAAAATCCTAAAGTTCAACTCAATACATCATGCTAATCTGCAGAATGGGATTTTCCTGCCACTAATCTTGCTAGAGCTGGGGCACTGTGCAAATATATCTATACACATAATTACTGAGGAGATATTAAACGGATCGATTTATTTCAATAAAAAATGCAAACTTTGAGAAGAATTCATTAATACTCAAAATCCAGCCAGGCAATAAATAACACTAATGAACTGAGAAAAAGGAATAGATGAACAAGTACTGACATGATGTCTTATGCGTATTGCTGTTAAAGAGGAGCTGACAATTACACCATTTGAAATATAAATCCTGCAAAGGAAATGCTAGAAAGTGAGTGAAAGACTTGTTAAAAATATGCATGTACATATATATACACACATTTTAAGAAGACATTAGGATGAAAACTAATTGAATTTTATCCTAAGGAGGCCATATTACCATTTTCATCACCCTTAAGCTGTGTTTACATTAGCAAACAGTGCTGTGCAACAGGAGCATGAAACAGCTGTTACTGAGATGCTGCCAGCACAACATCTCTAAATGTGCTGGGGGTTTGCTGCCAGCCAGCTCCAGGGTGGTCCTGCAGCCTGAATGCCTCACAGAGAGCAGGATAGCCTGGCCACAGGATCTCCCTGGTCCATCCTGTCCCAGGGGAGCACGAGGGTGAACACTCTGAAGTGTGAATCAGATCACAGCGATTGTTGGTGTGGCAGCAAACAGCATTTTCCTCAAAAGCGGCCTCCTTACTGGCACTAAAACGTTTCCTGCATCAGAAGCACCCAGGGCACTGTAAAGGGCTCACCCTAGGACAAAAAACCCAGACACTGCCAGAGAGACCTCAGTCCACACAACCCAAATGACCCAGTGACAACCAGGGGTATCTAAAATAACCTTTTCAATAACGGCAGTGAGAGCTTGTCAAGACAGAACCCAAGAACATGTTTTTCTTTGTGCTTGGGAGGTTCTGCAATTTGCCAAGAGGAAAAAAATCAAAATATTTGGATTGCTATTTTGGAATTATAACATGGTATTCAAACAGAACACTTAAGAGTTATCCAGGCTGCTTCAGAGGACACATGAAGTCATTTTCTACAGGCTTCTGAAACAGAAGAAAGACATTGAGGGCCTGAGGTGCATCCAGAGAAGGGAATAGAGCTGGGGAAGGGTCTGGGGCACAAGTCTGATGTGGACCAGCTGATGGATGTGGGGTTGTTTAGCCAGAAGGCTCAGGGGAACGTTATCACTCTGTATGGCTACCTTAAGAGAGAGTATAGTGAAGTCAGGGATCATTTTCTTTTCCCAGGGAACAAGACAGGAAGAAAGGAAATGGTCTCAAGTTATGCCAGGGGAGGCTTAGATTAGATATTATCAAGAATCTCCTCACTGCAAGGGTGGTCAGGCATTGGAACAGGCTGCTCAGGGAGCTGACAGAATCTCCAGCCCTGGAAGAGTCCAACAGTTGGCACCTGCAAATTTTACTCAATCCCACGGTTCTTACAGCAAAGGAGGTGCTGCAACCTCTCCTGGTGGAAGACCCCCAGTTTATTCACTCATTCCTTACCTGAAAGCTGCTCCTGTCTGTTATTTGGGACAATAGACTTCAGCAGCTGAGGAGGAAGAAAGCTCAGATATCAAAGATGAGCCTGTTTTGTTAAATCACAGTCAAGTTATTAAAAAATTCCCCTTTCCTTTCAATAATCTTAAGTGGGAAAATGCTGGCAAGGCACCCAGACCTCATCCAGATGAGCAGCTCAGGCTTTTACTGGTTGTAAAATGCGTGATTTATGGCAGCATGTACAACAGGATGTTATTTCCCTTGCAATTTATGCTCTCAGAGGGCAGAGAAGAGGTGGCTTTGCAGCAATTACACATCCCTTGCTCCTTCCAACAGATGCCTCTCTGCACAAACACCACTTTCACAAAAATCTCTGCTTTGTTCTAACCCAGGTCTCTAAAGAGTTTCTGTAAGGGCAATTACTACTGGCAACACGCCACATGCATGTTGTATTTTTGTCATTTCTTTAAGTTTATCCTGGAAAGATAGGAGGTTTCTTAGTTTTCATTCTGGTGAGGGATTCCCTTTAAGCTTTCCTTTAGATCAAGGCAAGGGGGAACCAGGCAATTTCAGGGCATTTTGTTGCCAGCAAGGAGTGGGATAAAGCAGCCTGTTCTGCAGAGTCTTTTCGGGACAGCAGCTCCAGGAAAGTGATGAATCTGCCACCAGATGTCACCCAGAGGCCACTCCTGTCGCTGCTGAGACTCCAACAAGCCTCTGGATTTCCTGCAGGCAGCAGAGATGCTCACAGCACTGTCATCACTCCTGCAGTTGCACCCACATTTAACCTCAGATTTCTACTTTGTGCCCTGAAAAAGAAAAGAAACTTTCAAGCTGCAGTAAGTCTTCAAAACGCCTTGAAAAGTGAAGTAGATTGCATGAGCTAAAGGCAAAAGGTTGTTGGTATCTTTACTGGAGGCCTGTATTTCTCCTTTTACAGAATTTTATCAGCTTGATGAAGACATCTTTTACAAATTCCTAAATACACTTAAAAACTTCATTTCATGGGGAGCATCCAAAGAAAGCACAAAGGGAACACAACTTCTGAATGTTTAACATTCAGAAAGTTCCACATGCTTTGCCACAAATAAGAATTTTGCTTTTTGTCAAATTATTTACCAGAGAGAGATCTAGAAAGCACAAATTTAGCATTGCAGCTTCAGTGGTAGTGATAGACATAAGAAACTGTTATTGAATCTTTTTGTCATGCTAGGAAACAGAGGAAAATGGATTATAACAGTTCTGAATAAATTTTACTTAATTTTTTTCAGTCTCCTAAATACAATTAAAATGTCCAGTGCTTTCAAGAGTAAATCAACAATTAATTACTTCAGCTCTGAACAGCAGCATCTAAAAAGAGGGATGAAATCACTCCTGTACATAATTCTTGCTTTTTGAAACTTGACCAGCTCTGTTTAAACAAGTCCAGAAACAATTTCAACTCCATTTAAACAAATCATAATTTTTCCCTTAAAGTCAAGGTTAAGCTAAAAGTACCTTCTCACATTTACCACACAGTCAATGTTCTTCTGCTCTTAAAAAATTCTGCCTGTGTCAATGATTTCAAAATTGAATTTGTAACTCTCAGTAAGGATATTTATTCTAAACAACAGAAAAATGAGAAGCCACAACTCAGATGTTTATTGAGAAAGAACATCCCAACACAGTAGCTGAACTTTTGCTTTGGAAAGAAATTACTTTAAAGAGAAAGCAAGATTCAGACTGTTCATAAACATCAGTTCTGTGCATAACTGAACCTTCTTGTTTCCTGTCACTCAGCCACACTTTACCATGAAAAATCTGGGAACAGTTCTTTTGCTTCTGCTAAGTTATGGGGAATGTTTGTTTTCAAAGCTTTAAACAGTAAAGTCAGAAAATTAAAACAAAACTCCCAAACAATCCAAACAAGATGGGGATAAAGAAGTTTTCACCTCATTTCACCTCTAATTTTCTATAAATAAACAGAGTAAGAAAAAAATCAAGTTTTTCATAGGCCATAATTGTAATTGGATACTTTTCTTAGCATGACCTATCATTGTAACCACCCAGTGGTAACAAATGGACTTTCAGTACCTGTAATAAAGCAGCTCAGAGTAAACAAAATACTTATTTTGAAAAAACATACAAAAATCACAACTATTATATTAAGAACTCTGTTGTAATTATATACAAAATAACTATCAGAGCATTTGGTTCATACAGTGTTGCTGCAAGTTTTGAAATCAAGTTCTTGATCCCAGACAGTCAGCGCTAGAAACGGGCAACTATCTCAAGCTTGTCTGCTTGGGGATGCAGACAGAACAATTTGTGTGTACTCATGACAAAACTGGAACCATAAGGTAAAAGGACAGCAATTAATGCAAAGAAGTTAAAAAAAAATCTTCAACAATGCCAAGTTCCCTGCACTGTCCCATTAAATCACATTTAGAACACCCACAGCAGCTGCCTCCATTCAGTGTTTTGAGTTTTCTATTGGTTTTCTTTGGACTCAGATGCCCATTTACACACTTACCCCTCCCAAATTTCAAAAGCCAGATGCAAAGACTTCCTGTTACAGCTCAGGTAAGAGTTTCAACAGGTGTCCTCAAGAGAATGTGCAGTTTGTGAATGCCTCATTACGCACTGCTGCCATTCCACATTTAAATGTAATATGAATAACCGAACTCCACTCTAATGACAGTGCAACACCTGAAGGAATACCCATGAAACATTTGTTAGCTCTTGGAAAGTGCCCACAAGCATCACCTGTGCTAATTCCCTGTATCTCCGCTTGCCACTCAGCAAATCTTACTCAGAGAAGAGAAACTGCATGGCAGCAACAGCCCAGTCCCTCACCCAGCCGTGACAAAATGCTCAGAATTTCTGAGGTTCAAACACAGTCAGCTCATCCCCATCATAGAACTCTCTCAGTTGGTTTAACTCATATTTTATGGAAGGTTCTTCAATCTGCATCCCAGGCTCCAGAGCGTTCTGTCCTACTATTTTAAGGTTCACCAGTTTTATTTTCCAGGTGTTATTCCTCACAGGGCAGCTGATGAGCCCAAAGATTTGCTCAAAGACACCCAAACAAGCATTGTCTCTGTGCACTGTGCCAGCCACCGCCACTAGCACCAATCCATGAGGGGACATGGCACATTTCAGGCCACTGGAATGCAAATTTGGGTTGAAGAGGAGACATTCTTCTTTAACCAAGGACAGCAGGCGCAGGCTCACCATCTCTGCACCCACATATTGTTCTATGTTTTTTTCCAAAGTGTTGTAACAGAACTTCAGTTTGGCATCCTCCCAAAAATGCTGTGGTCCCCACGTCTCTTCAGATTTTACTCCCAAAGGGTGTTGAGAGTTCAGGAGTTCAAAATACCACTGGCAGAATTCTCCTCCTAGACCACCAACGTCATCTTGTGGTGACTTCTGTCCATTTCCGTGACTCTGCAGTCAAGCAAATTTTTTTCTTAGAACTGTTTAGTAAGATTATCACTTAGAAAAACATCAAATCAGGCACATACTTATATTAAACCTTTTAAATGTTCTAAGCCAGAGGGCCTGAAGAGAAACACCGAAGCAAAATCTCATTTATTTTTACAAACATGATTATCTAATGTAGAGAACCAAGACAGGTTCCTTGAATTATACCTAGAAAGTGCTTCAGCGTCTTGGGCTCTTTACAAAAAGGAAAATCCTGATTCCACTGAAAAAGGGCAGGGGAAGGATGTAAAGTGACATTTTTTGGAACTAAATGTACAGTTATTTTGTAGGACTTCTCAGTATTTATGACTTGACAGTAAGACATTTTTAGAAGTAGATCAAATGTCAAGTTTGTTAACACCAATGTCTAATAAGCATTAAATTGTGTTAATTGTGTTAAGTATTAAGTAATTAAGCATGAAAATTTTGAAGAATTCTTTATAGAAATGTGGTATGTGTTTTACCACAAATTGAAATTAATTTCCAATTCTGTTACATAGTTTCAGGTTTCCCACTTCTTCAAAGTGGTGAAGAAAGAAGAGACAAGAATTAAGAGAAAACAAATGCAAAGAAAGATGTATGTGATATATAAATCTACTGACTTTCTTTTAAATTTATGAATGTGTTTTAAGTACTTCATTTATGTACCATCAACCACAGAACTTTGCTAAGAGAAACCTTTGTTTTTTCCCTCGAATTAAACACACAGAAGATTATTTTGAAAACAATTCTCAGCTAAATGCTGTCATCAGCTAATCCCTGAGTGAAAGCTCAGTGCAATAGGTTCTCAACAGGGACAGAGCACTCACAGCCCAGGAGGCGGGACTGCTGCCCACCAGGGCTCTGAACTACAGCAAGGTGAACCACAATTAGAACCACAAATAAACCCCTTAAAGTTCATTACACAACGAGGATTTGCTAAATGGCAAAGAGCTGAACTTCAAAATAACCTATTATTGCCAAAACACATTTCCTTATGCTGTATTAAGTGTTACAAACCCCAAGGGAAAACAAATGGCACTGACCTGTCACTGCTGGAAACTGCACATTTTATCAATATATAAACTCACTAAAATCACAAGGGCCTCTGCAGGATTTCTGTGCCATTCACTGTGTTTTCAGCTGTCCCTGAACCCACAGAACTATTTGTGAGTATCTCCTATTTTAGCTTATAGGACAATTTAAAAATTCAAAGCATGGAGAAGACCCCACAGCTCAAATACTGTGGAAAACAGAGCAGACACCTCCAGATGTAATTTAAAAACCAACCAAACAAACCCAACTAAAACCAAACCAACCAAGAGCTGAAAAGATTTGGGACCTTCCTACAGGTGCAGAGCCACATTTGCACCGGTCATCCTGTGGATGCAATGTGATGCTGAGCACCCTGAGGATTTCCAGCAGCAGCACTCACCTGTGCAGGAGGTTTTCTGTGCCCTGTCTCTGAGGCTCGTGCCGTGAACTGCCCGCTCCAGAGCTGCCTCACACGCTCGATGAGGAGGTGTTTCTCTGAAGAAGGAGGCACTGCGATTCCCTGCGCCGCCAAATACTTAAAGATGATTTCTCTGTAGACTTTCCTGCGCCTCAGAAGTTCTTCCACGTTTTGGCTGTACACCAGAATAGCATGAATGGCCTCTGCAAAGAAAGAAACTGAAGTCAGAGTTACCTTCTTTCACAATAAAACCCCAAACCTAAGCTATCTCTTAAATTCCTGACCTCCAAACACAGTACAAGACAAGGTGACAGGACAGGAAGAGACTGAAAGTTTGTCTCTAAACCTAAATCTGGCCTCATCATATCAGACACAGAATACACCCCAAAGGCTTGCAAGTATGTTTCTTGGACAAGAATTCTAGAGAAGTGTTTCAGCAATGCACAGTAGTTTGTGAAAGTGAGGTTCCACCTCCTTCCTGAAGCCTGCTGGAAATGGAATTAAATCTGTTTTATTTCCACACTAATGTGATTACAACTCCCGTGTTCATACAAAAATGCCTCCTAGCACAACAGTGCACCGAATGGCAACAATAAACAAAATTCAGCTACAAGTCTCTGTGGCAGAATGAGGAAACACGGCAAATTTGAATTCACTTTTAAAGCAGTCACAGCAGACAGCTCCCCCCTGAACTGAGGCTAGTACTTAACACAGGACCTATAAAACCCCCTAATCTATCCAGAAAGAAAAAGCCAAAGTAAAACACAAAAATCTTTCAATGTAATCTACAACCACTGCAAAAAGTAGGGAAAAAAGGTAACGAACAAACACCTACAGGCAAAAAACCTTTTAAAGAAATGTGTTGGGCAAATTTTACAGGTTTTAGTTACATCACGTGAAACATACTCAAGGCTTTAGGATGATTGTATATCAGGGCAACAAACCCAGTGGCCTCAGGTAAGTCACATAAAAAATTAAGTCTTACAAAACAAATCTCAACAAAGTGATGGTGGATGATCACAACTGGAAGTGTCCTGCAAAAAAAACTAAGTTCAATGCAGATTCATATTTCACCCTTTCAAAACCTGAAAGCAAAAGTGACTGATGCCAACAGCAAGAGAGTCTCGAGCTTTCAATACTTTTAACCACTACTGGCACAGCCGTGCGCGCAGCTCACTGCAGGGCTCTGAGAGGAAAAAGATGCTTGTGGAGCTGAAGATCTGCTACCTCAACTCCTCGCCACCTCAACTTCCTCGGCCTGAACAACCTCAAGCTCCGAGCAGCCAAGCCCCGGAGGAGCTGCTGGGCTGTGCAGGAGAGGGCTCCCGAGCTCGGCCGAGCCCTGCGAGCCCCGGCCCGCCCGGGCAGCCCCGCCCGCCGCGGCCGCCGGGCCCGGGGAAGCGAACGCGGGGCTCGGGGCAGGGCCCGGCCCCGCTCGGCAGGCCCCGGCCCAGCGGCACCGGCGCTGCCCGCGCACCTTGGCGGCTCTCCGGGTGCACCAGGCGGTTGGTGACGGTGTCGGTGAGCGCCAGCAGCTCCTCGGTGTGCAGGAGCTCCAGCAGGTCGCGGCAGCCCGCCCGCTCCCGTTCGCTCAGCCCCGACCCCGCCATGGCCGCCCTCCCGGGCGCGCCTGGTGCAGCGCCGGGCGCCGGCTGGAAAGAGGGACCGGCAGCGAAGTTCCGCACGGAGAAACGGCCGCTGGGGAGCAAAGCCGCCAGGAGGCGGGCTTAAATGTATGGATTGTGTCGTATACGTAAAAACATAATCATAAAACATATGGAGAGTTTGTAACTGAGGGTATCCTTCCCTTCCAGCCCGTCCTGAAGGTGTGGTGCTGAGCTCTGGGGAGATGCTGGAGAGCAGCACCATGGAACGGGATGTGTGGGTATTGGGGCATGGCCTGTGGATGTGAGCCAGCAGTGCCCGGGGGCCAGGGGTGACATCGCTGTCCTGGGGCCGGCGGGGACAGCATGGACACCGTGACAGCCAGGGGATTGTCCTGGGGCCGGCAGGGACAGCATGGACACCGTGACAGCCAGGGGATTGTCCTGGGGCGGCAGGGACAGCATGGACAACGTGACCGCCAGGGGCTTGTCATGGGGCGGCAGGGGC